TTCCAGGAAACTGGGGCAAAAAAAAAAAAAAAAAAAAAAAAGACCTGTCTCAGAAACAAAACACAAAATCAAAGTAAATACAGGCAAAAACATTTTACCCTAAGTTAATTATATAACTAAATGATGAGAAACTTTCATAAATCCTCTAAGGATAGTTTGCAAAATAACTTTATTTCTTTATAAAAACAGACCTTAATAGTCAATGCATATTTACATTTTTAAAACATTACCAAATTTAGTGAAAAAAAATTCAATGCACACCAGAAATAGCTTATCATTTATGAAGAGCTATACAAAACAGAAATAAATACCTAAATAACAATTATAAATAGGCACTACATTTTAAACAGGAATCTACAAAGGTTTTGACTTAAATTTTATACAGAGTAGTCAAAATGATAATTCATCCCAAACTTGCAGGATATTTTCTGTTAGTGGAGTCCTAATCTCAGTAACATTTCTAGAAAAGGTATAAAGTTACTATCACACATTTAAAATTATATTTATTTAGAGACAGGGACTCATTGGTCAAGGCTGGCCTCATACTGACCATGAAGCCCAGGATGACCTTAAACTTCTGATCCTCCTGCCTCCACCTCCCAACTGGTGGGATAACAGGTACCCAACAAACCTGGTTTTATGTGGTACTGGGGACTGAACTCAAGGCTTCCTGCATGCCAGGCAAGCACTGAGTTGTATCCCCAGCTAGTCCACTAGTATACATTTATTTTTATGGATTTTATTTTATTCTTAATTATCTGTACATGAGTGCAGGTGCCATACAGAGGCATTGGATCCCTGACACTGTAGTTACAAGCAGTTGGTAAGATACCCAACATGGAAACTGAACTCGGGCCCTCTGCCAGAGAAGTAAGCACTCTTAACCATTAAGCCATCTTTCCAGCCCCACTATTGTACATTTTGGGTTTTTTTGTTTTTGTTTGGTCTTTTTGAGACAGGGTCTCCCTGTAGCCCCAGCTGGCCTGGAACTCGCTATGTAGACCAGGCTGGCCTCAAACTCACAGAGTTCCGTCTGCCTCTACTATTGTACATTTTGAAAGGAGTGGTCCAGTTGTGTTTCCTCTGCTTTTAACTGTTCTTCATTTGTAGTACTGGCAGAAGGGGCATCATGTGGATCGACTCCAGCATCTGTATTTAATCCATATGACTCTTCCTCTTGATCCTCACCATTTCTCTCTTCAACTGTCTGTGCCCTGGATGTGCTCATTAACTTGTCTAAAAGAGAAATCCGTATCATTATTACTCATTATAAGCAACTGATCCACTAGTGGTTACCACGAATTTCTTCAAAAGCTTACTTAGTAAAAATCAAATCTATCATCATTTACTGTTAACTATGATTACTAAAGTCTAAAACCCATTTACATATGTAAAGCATACTTAAAATGCCAAGGGTTTTGAGGGAAGTGGGTGTTGCTGCCTGGTAAAATCAATACTGATCAGCAAGCGTGAGGCTCTAGATTCACTCCTGTCGCTTACATACACAAAAACAAAAGTAAAGGGTCTTGAATGATAAACAATACTACTTTCAAACCCTTGAATCATACCCAAATCTGACATTTCAAAGTCAAACTAGAAACAGGTTAAAAAGAATCAAATGCAGGGCCAGGAAGATGGCTCAGTGGATAAAGAAGCTTGCTGCCAAGCCTAACAACAGGGAAAGAACCAATTTCAGAAGTTATCCTCTGACCTACACACACACACACACACACACACACACACACACAAACACTTTTTATAAAAAGAAGGTCTTGGGAGTTGGATAGATGGCTCAGGGGTTAAGAGCACTGGCTACTCTTGCAGAGGACCTAGGTTCGGTTCACAGCACCTACATGACAGCTAACAATTGTACTCCAGTTCCAGGGGAATCCCACCCTCTCTTCTGACCACCAAGGGCATTGCACAACATGGGCACACTTACAGACATGCAGGCAAAATACACACATAAAATAAAAATAATAAAATTTCTTTTTTGGGGGGGTCTTTTTGAGGGTCTTCCTGTAGCTCCAGCTGTCCTGGAACTCACTATGTAGACCATGCTGGACTTGAACTCACAGAGATCCACCTGCCTCTGCCTCCCAAGTGCTGGGATTAAAGGGTGCACCACCACACCCGGCTAAAATATCTTTCAAAATGCAAGGTCTTTCCTTCATAGCTCAGCCTGGCCTGGACTTACTCTGTAGCCCAGGACAGCTGCTCTTAATCTTCCTGCCTCAGTCTCCTGAGTGCTAAAATTATAGGTGTGCCACTAAACCTAGCTCATAAACCTGTCTTAATTTCTTAATATATTTTTATTCTTTAATAATTTCACATAATGTATTTTAATTCTTTTAAACTATGGTTTAAACAAATTTCTAACTAAGTTCTGAACCCACAGTTTGCTTTAAAAACAGCAAATTGGCCAGGCATGATAGCACATGTCTTTAACCTCAGCACTGGGAAGGGGGAGGCAGGCAGATCTCTGAGATTGAGGCCAGCCTGGTCTATACAGGGAGTTCCAGGCCAGCTGGAGCTACAGAAGACCCTGTTGAAAAAAAAATTAAGTAAACAAATTTGAGATGGAGTATAGTCCAGTGTAGAACAAAGGTATTAATATATACAATGATCAGGGTCCAATCCCAAGCACCAAAATTAATAAATAAAAATAAAAACAAAGTTTAAGGCAGTTTTTTGTTTTGATACTACCATAAAAAGCACAATGCACAATAAAAGTGCAACAATGTAATAAAAAGGATCTCAAAATAAAAATTTAAATAAAAATTTAAAGGCTATAGATACAGTTAAGTAGCAGAGCATTTATCTGGCTTATGCAAGTCCCTGGGTTCAACCCAACTGTATCACAGAAAATGATTCTACAATCCTCAGTGGGTATAGAAGGCATTATATTTGTTACAAAAGTATCACAAGCTTGGGCTGGTGTTACTAGTTTATAATCCTAGCTTCCAGAGGCAGAGGCAAGTTCAGGGATGGTTGGGAGCACACTCCAGGTTCAATTCCCAGCACCCAAATGGTGGCAACAGTCTGTAACTCCAGTTCCAGGGGCATCCAACGCCCTTTTCTGACCTCTGCAGGCACCACACCACACGGGTGCACTTATACACATGCAGGCAATACACTCAAGACACATCAAATAAAAATATTAAAAAGCTGGGCGTGGTGGTACATGCCTTTAATCCCAGCACCTGGGAGGCAAAGGCCAGCCTGGTCTACATAGTGAGTTCCAGGCCAGCTGGGGCTTCAAGGAGACCCTGTCTCAAAAAAACCAAAATTTTTTTTAAAAAAAAGCTGGGCATGGTGGCGCATGCCTTTAATACCCAGCACTTGGGAGGCAGTGTGAGAACAAGGCCAGCCTGGTCTACAAAGTGAGTTCCAGGTCAGCTGGGGCTACAAGAAGACCCGATCTCAAAAGATAAAAAAAAGATGGCACATTCAAAGCCTGTCTGGGTTACAGAATTTGTTCAAGGTTAGCCTAGGCAACTTACCAAGACCATGTCTCAAAACTTAGAAAATAAAAAGAGGGGGCTAGAGAGTTGGGTCAGCAGTTAAGAGCACTGGATGCTCTTGCAGAAGACCTGGGTTTGGTTCCCAACTCCCACATGAAGGCTAACAACTGTCCGTACTTCCAGTTCCAGGAGATCTAATGTCCTCTTATGACCCCCAAGGACATTTCATGACACAGGTTCACTTACATGCAGACAATACACTCATCTACATTAAA